TCATCTTCTGTTACTCGGAAATGAGGGCGTTTTTCTCTGTCAAGTACAACGCCCGCCGTCCCGGGACTTTCTATGCGTCCCCGAGGTCGAACCGGCAGTTCATTGAGGAGAGTCCAGAGAAGGACTCTGGCTGGGAGAAGACCGGGTTTAAATTCCGGATTAACGAAGCCTCTGTCAGAGACTTCGACTTTTCTCGGTTGCCAATCGAGTTGCGGGCAACGGTTGCTTAGTTAGGCTTGAGTGCTCGTTAGCTATGTTCGCTTTAGTATGCTCGTCGAGTTTTCTGACCATTTACTTGTTTTTGTTTATCAGGTCAACTGTCCAGAGCACCCAAGGATCCCGATATCGAGCATCGACTAGAGTTGTTCAAACGAGGAGAAGTTATCTGGAGCACGTTCACACGAGAACAAGTCTGACGGGTTCTCACCTCTCCCATCCCAGCTCCAGTTTTCGCGCCCGATAAGTTTTCTTCGGACTTGTATCTCGATCTCGTTTGTTGGATCATAATATTCTGACGCAAGGTGGTTAATTTTGCTGGCAGCCGGAGTTCTTCCTCTCCGTTCTATTCTACCTTCTTCTAGTTCGGCAAGTTCAAGTTCAGCAATGTCTCGCAAGCCCACCTTCCGTCAAAGAGCCGGGAAAGCTCCGGCTGGTCCCAGCAGCTCTAGGGTATGCTCCGGGAGCGTTAAGGAGGCCCTTGAGGCCGTGCTTGCCACGGCTTCTGCTTCCGCACCTTAACTCCGCGACGAGGAGGTTGAGCAGGTGATGGATCCTCAGCCCGACCCCCCTCACGATTCGGTGGGAGCGATCTCTGTGAGCTCGGGCAAAACCCAGCAGCCCGCTGATGACTAAGGACCCGAGCAGACTTTCCAGCCTGCCTCTAAGAGGCCGAGAGACGACGCGGGAGGTCGTGCCGCTGAGTCTCGCCCGTTGGCGTCCAATAGGAGTGGTGGCTCGACGGGTAGTCGGCCCTTCCACTGGAAATTCGAGCACACCAAGGATCATCCGATCACGGATGACTCCGAGGGCATGGCGGCTATGTGGCGTCATTTCTAGCCCGCTGGGTGCCAACTTCCAGCTTTCAAGAAAATGAGCGAGGGGGAGCTCTACGTGGAGATGGCGGCTGCCCAGGGGAAGGTACGCTTTGTTTTTTGATGCTCGCAGGCGGCGGAAGCTGGGAACCGGCTCTATGCTCGACTTGAGCAGAGGCTGCGAGACGTTCCACATCCGGACGAGATCAAGAAAATAAAGGAGGTAGTCGACAAGCTGAAGTCCGACCTAGAGGCCGCGAATGCTCAGGTCGCTCGCCAGACTAGACTCCTTAGGCAGTTCAAGGGCCAGCAAGCTCACATCACCGACCTTAAGAACGAGTTGGTTGACAAGGGCAAGAAGTTCAAGGTTGCCACCAACCAGATCTTCGAGGCTCAAGCCGCAGCAGAGCAAGCTCAACAGGAGGCCGCGATCTATAGGGAGGAGAGTCTCTGTTTGGTCCGCGAGCGCGAGAGCGATGTCCGCAAGGCGAACCGCGTGGTCCGGAAGGATATGTCTCGGATACTCATAGAGGTGGTCGAGGGCTTCAAGCTGAAGTGGGAGAAGAAGAAGGCCGAGGGCGTGGCCGAGTGCGATCTCCAAGAATGTATTACCAACAAGGAGATGCTCGAGCAGCTCGCCGTGAAGGCCACTACTGTCGAGGAGGAGCTGGAGAGGGTGACCAAAGAAGAGGAGGACTTGGGAGCAGCTTTTAAGGCTGCCCAGGTCTCAGATTTCTCGATCAGCAGTCTCAATCTCCCCGTAATCTCGGAGGACTCGATGGCTATGGACGTCGACCCGGTTTCAGGTGCACCCGCAGGCCTTAATCAGTTTGGTACGAATGTGGAGGAAGGAGGAGGTGACGAGACGAGGAGGGAGGACGACGACGAGAAGGCGGGTGGCTAGCTCGACGGCTGGCTGTGGCTCCTTTCTCTTTCCCTTCCCTTTTTTTTTAAATTTAATTTTCGAAAAGGAGAGAGAGGTTCGATTTCGTTCCGAGTTCCAAACATAGGGCTCGGTCGTCCCTGTCGAACTGCGAGCTGCGTTGGGCTCGTGGATTCGAGGTCCGGAGCTCCGGCTATGGTTGGAGTCGAATTGTAAATCTGGTCGCACCTGTGAAGTAGAGTAGGGTTCTGAATTGAGTTGGTTTGCGAAATGAGAAGTGTGTACCTTATGCTGCTTGAAGGCATCTAGGATAGGTGGCTCTCCCCCCCCCCCCCCCCCCCCCCCCTCGGAACGAGTGAGCGATGCGTGAGCTGGAGCTTGCTTGAACGAGCTATGTTTATGTGTTTTGTAAGAAAAGAAACTTAGAAGAATTGAGGGCTAGATTCTCTCGAATAAATTGACAATATAAGCTAGCACTAACTGAAATAAGGATTTTGTATTAATTGGTCGAATGAAACGGTTACAAAGATTTTAGTGTAGAAGATGAACTCAAGGAGCTCTGGGAGCAGTTACAGAGTTTCAAAGTGTAAAAAGTGTGTAAGAAGATCAAGCCGAAGATCCCCTGAACTAAGCCGTTCTCCTTCTTTATATAGCTTGCCTCGTCGAGCTTCGAGCTCCAGCGCGTATCTCGGCCACGTGCAGCAGCCTTAGCCGGATATCTCGCCACGTGCAACAACTTCCTCCGCGATCTTTGGACTCGTTCGAACTGGCGAGAATATGTTCTGACTTGGTTCGGATTCTTCCTCGTTTTTCGGGATTTGGTCGAGCTGGAGCTCGACCTCGTCGAATGGAATATCTTGTTGTTCAGGATCGGGTTATTAAAAGGTGGATGGGCCTGGACTGTAAAATTGAAGCCCAGCCTTTTAGACTTAGTTCAGATCTGCCCGTTGGGCTCGAATGGGCTGGATTTGGGGTGTCAAATCCAGCTCCAACAAAGAGGTAACTTTTTGAATTATAATTAATATTTATTTAGATTGTTATTATTAATGAATTCTGGTTTCTGAGTTTTTATTTAAAAGATGTTATACTAATAAATAATATTAAATAATTATAAAAATATACTGTTTAATATAATACATATTTTGTTAAATAATTAATACATATTTTTTTAGATAGACGTTAAATTTTAAACCTTCAAATGGAGGAAAAGAAAATTCTTTATATGATTAATAACCTTTTGTGGTTAAGTTTGTGATAAAAATACTATGAATTAATAATAAATTCTATTATTTTAGTTTAATAAATAATAAATATCATAATTTTGTGTCTTTTAATATTAAAAGAACAATTTTTCATAAACGAAAAATGCATCTAATAAATAATGAAAAGATATAAACTCTAATAACAGTGATAAAAAAAAATTTACGATGAAAAAACGCAATTACAAATAACATTTATTCAATTTTGAAATAAAATATTGAAGAAAATTAACAATAATAAACTAAAATTGTACCTAATAAATAATAAAAGAACACTAATTCTAATAGCATTTATAATATATTATAATGAAAAGACTTAACTTAGTGAAATGTAAGTGACATTTATTCAGATTGCTATTATTAATAAGGAGTTCTGACTTCTGAATCTTCGTTTAAAAGAAAGCATACCAATAGATATTATTAAGAGAAAATTTAGTAAATAGACTCAGATAATAGTAAAATTAGAAATATGGAGTTAATAATCAAAAATTAGGTTAATACATATTATACATAAAATTATGACTATATTGCCCTTATAATTATTTGATGCCGTTTTGATAGATAATAATTAAATTATCATGCTAACAAATATGATATCGTGATAACTGTGTTAACTATGCTAACTAATATGATGCTCGATTAGCACATTGTACAAAAATCAAGTTAACATGATAACTATCGTGTTAATGTTGTTATTATTTCATGAAAAATAGGAGTTAACTTTGTTCGATTAGCATATTGTACAAATATCTGGTTAACATGATAACTATCGTGTTAAAGTTGCTATTATTTCATGAAAAATAGGAGTTAACTTTGTTAACTGTATAAGTTATACAAAATTATCATGTTAACAATGTTATCATATCAAAAAGTTATCATACTAACGTTGTGAGCATGATAACTACCGTGTTAACTTATACTCATCACCACCACCACCACTTATAGCCACCACCACCACCACCGACACTGTCACCACCATCGCCATCACCACCACCATCACCGGTATCGCCATCACTTCCACCACCACCGACTCGCCATCACCGGCATCGCCATCACTTCCATGACCACCGGCCCGTCATCACCAATACCATAACTACCACCATCACCATCACCCCCACCACCACCACCACCACCACCATCACCACCGCCGACGACTCCATCACCACCGCCGACAACGCCATCACCACCGACCAACACCAACACCACCGCCAACATTATCTCCATCATCGATAAGATGCAAGAAAACGTGTGAAAAAAAAGTAGAAGAAAAAAATTGTATGAAAAAGGCAATCAGATAAGATGCAAAGAGTCATTCGTCTTTTTATTAGCAATAGTGTGCTCAAAAAGTTGTCAGATTTGGTCGGTTAATTTCCATATTATTCGAGTCCATTCTTTGCAATTTCTCTATTATTAAATAATCAGAAAGTGTAGTGTTGAACAAATTATTATATATATTTTTAGATTGATGTTAAATATATTTATTTTTTCAAATCGTCAAATGTAGGAAAATAAACTTTTTTATATCATGAACAAACTTTTTGTGATTAAATTTGAGATAAGAACATGACAAACTAATAATAAATTTTACTTATTTTAATCTTTCTTTTTTAACGCTTGTTGAATATTAAGATTGAATCCCAAATAGGGACTTAAGTTTCACAGCTACAAAGGGCCTATAAAACACCAAGAAAACAGAGAGACCAGTAGGTACTCAGACTTGGCAAACAAAAACTTTAAAACATAGTATATGAGAAGGAAAGGAGAGGGAGACTCTTGTTTACGACTTCTCTTTGAATGCCCATCATGAAGATCACCTTATTGGAATATTCAGGTCAGAGCCACATTAGCTTCCAAGGATATGGTTTTGTGCAGCCAAAAAGGACCTTGCGCAGCTACGTATGACTGATATCGGTGGTCTCTTGTAACTCTGACTGTAATAGTTACAGCCGCTTGGTTTGCCTCTTCTGTGATGTGATCGAGACTCCAAAACTCAAAAGGGGCCAATGAGCTCAAGATCAAATTGATATTTGAGTGAAGAAGAGGGAAGTGTTCCAGATGAAGTAATGCTTCTCTCGCCAGAGGCAAGGATCCTTCAAAGATTACTCGTCTTTGCCTTAAGTGAGAGAGTTCCTGCACTGCCCAAACCATACATTGCAGTTTCGCTTCACGAGCATATGCTTGAGCTGAGAATGTAGTAGGGCCGTCCCATTGTGATCCCTTAAAATACATGCACCTCCACTCTTCCTTCTCGGATTGATCCAAGATGATCCAATATTGCATTTGAGGATGTCTCGTGGAGGTTTTTTCCACAGGGTTGCTACACTTGTTGTACGACTGGTTTCTGGAGTAGCAGACTCTTCTGAAATATTGACCCGCAACATTGAAATAGCATGTTTAAAGAAACGATTTCTTCTGAAATATATATGAGTCCTCCAAAGCCTTTGAAACGATTTCTGCAGCTGATAGATTGGTATTCTCGAAAACCAGTGCATCTCTGCAGGTATCTCTGTTTTCTTACTATGCGAGAGCAAGTGATGAAAATTCAAGAAAACCGAGGTTGGAGACCATCCAGAAGGAGGAGCTGGAAATTGAGATATCTCCCATGCTTCTTTAGCCTTACAACATTGAAATAGCATGTGACATATTGTCTCCGTTTCATTCCCACATACTCTGCATGTTGCGTCTAATGGAATATTTAGGGTTTGTAATTCTTTTGGAGACAGCCAAGGCTCCCGACGTAGCTTTCCACACGAAATGTCTGATCTTTGGTGAAGTGTTAGCCTTCCATAGGTTTTTCCAGAGTTGTTTCTCCACCAGAGGAATCACTCTCATTGGTGGGTTTTGGGCTTCAGAGAGGGATTCAAGGAATTTATATCCACTGCGTGGATCATAACAATCATTCCTTGAGAAACCCCAAATCTTTTTGTCTTGTAGATGAATCTTAGGCATGATTTGAAGTATACGCTCAACCAGAGGCACGGCGAACCCCCATTGCCGCTTGATCGACTACTCCGCCTTATTGACAAAGCAGTCCGTAACCGAGTCTCCTCCATCAGGCGATGTGATACATGATACGAACTAGCGTTACAACGTTGGTTTGCCACTCGAAACTGGTTTTCATAAAACATTCTTTTGTATTGTAACAAAAAACATAAGTAGCACTCGATGTAACACTGTTTTTTTGGTTTGAATAAATTTAACATTCACTTTAAAAAAAAAACAAAGTATACGCTCAGCATCCACAGCCTCAAAGGATTGACGGATGAGCCCAACATTCCACCAGTCGTCGTGGGGGTTAATCAAGTCAGATACTCTGAGGGAGAGGTTGACCTTACTATCCTGACGATACATGGAGGGTCGAGGAGGGATATCCGCGATCCAGTTATCTGTCCACACATGAGTCTATGTTCCATCTCCAATCGCGTGTATCAAGCCCTGCTTAAGAAGATCTCTGCCATGTAAGATATGGCGCCATACATAGGAGGGTCGTTGTCCAAGACTGCAAGTTAAAAGATCAGAATTGCAAAAATAGCGATGCTTAAGTATACGGGATAGGAGGGATTCTGGTTTTTGCCAGATACGCCAAGCCTGTTTCCCTAGGAGCACTTGGTTGAATCTCTTAATATCATGGAATTCCATTCCCCCTTTATCTTTAGATTTACACAGGTTTGACCAGGCCACCCATGAGATCTTGCAACAGGAGTTTCCATTACTCCACCCATAAGATCTTACTTATTTTAGTATAATAAATAATAAAAATGATTATAATTTTATGTTTTTTATACAGTTGAAAGAATATCAATATTAAAAGATACAACTTTCAATGAAAGAAAAGATATCTTATAAATAATGAAAAAACGTAATGATTATGAAAAAAAAAATATAATAAAAAGGTGCAATCATAATTAATATTTATATAATTTTAAAATAATCATTTTAGTGAAGTCAAAAAAATTCAAAAAATTAATAATTATAAACGAAAATGTTCCAAGTAGATAATAAAAGAATGGGGGAATAGTTCATTATAACCTAAAAGTTGATTTTTTCTAAATATATAGATCATTTATTGAATGTTTGGCAAAACTAACCCAAAGAGGTACTAAAATTACAGCTCAGACTTTTGTGACTAAACAAAAAAAGTCTACCACAGTTACGATTTTATCTTTCAGGAAGTCTACGTAAGAAGTCTACAATCATATACTTCTAAAGAAGTCTATTTTTGTAGACTATTAATGAACTCTACATAAGTAAACTTCAAAAGAAGTCTACTACATAATTAGTTTTTTAAAAATTAATTAAAAAATATAAAATAAATAAATTTCTAAAAAATTGGTAAACATAAGTAAAACATACATATTTGACATGTATAGAATATAAAATTTCATACAAATGAATCAATTTAAATGCAGAAAGAAAAATTAACTAGAAAACATACAACCCCTTAGAAGTCTACTATAGAAGTCTACTAGATAATTAAATCTTAAATTTTTTTTACTAAAATTATAAGAAATATTATGATACAAAAATTATAAACATAACCAGAACATAGACAATTGGTACCTATATTAAATAAAATTTCATGAAAATAAATCTATTAATAAATTTCATAGGTATAAGGTTGAAAAAGGTTAGGGTTTGAGATGTAAAGTTTAGGGTATTGTTAGGGTAAACCCAAATTCTATATGAATTATAGTTTATGGTTTGGTTAATGATTTAGAGTCCATATCATTGTTATTTGAACTTTAAAATATGAAAATGGTAAGAAAATTAATATTTTGATAAAGTTAAATATCAAAATATTTGATTTAGGATTTAGGGTAAACAAACATATGCAGTAGACTTCTCGGATAGACTTCTCCACTAGACTTAAAAAAACGTAGGGGGAAATCGAAATTATTTAACAAATTGGGCGGGAATCAGAACAAATTAGGCGGGAATCGAAATCGAAAAAATATACTGAAGTAGATTTTTTGCTTAAGTCTACTTAACCGAAAATTTTCCTACATATATAAGGAGATTAACCTAATTGGATTAAAAATAAAGTTTTTCTCTCCCTCTAAAAACTGCCTCTCTCTCTCATCTACCTCCTCTCTAGCCATGAATCTCTTCTCATTCGTCTCTTGCCATTAAACTCATCTCTATCCTCCATCCTCTCTATCTCAATTATGGTGATGGTAAGCAAATCTGAGGATTTGTGTTTCTTTTATTGTTTGTTTTGTGTCCATATTGTAAATCTAGGTTTATTATTACACATTTGAGCTTCTTGTTGTAGATCTGAGTTTATTCTTGTAAATATGCGCTTATTGTTGTATAAATTTTGTAGAATTTATTGGAGATCTGATTTTTTTGTCGTTGCAGATCTGATTTTTTTTATTGCAGATCTGAATTTTTTGTTGCTGCAGATCTGATTTTGTTTATTTTGTTGCAGATCTGAATTTTGTTTATTTTGTTGCAGATCTAGAATTTTTTTTGTTACATAGCTGATTTCTTTTTTTCTTTTTTTGCTGCAAATATGATGTTTGTAAATATAGTAGATTTTGTTAAAGTATGAGTTTTAACATTTTTTTTTCTTATTGTGCAAACCTGAGCTTATTTATTTTTCTTTTTATTTTGTTGGAAGCAGACTTCAGCCGCAGACTTCTTGAGCAGACTTCAGTCACATACATCTATTTCAGACATTTTGTTTTCATTTGCCAATTTTAAGATTTATAATTAATGATCCTTAAATATTTGTTTATTTAGAAGGTCTACCTTATATGTAAATTTGGATTGCAACGAATGTTATTTATTATATTCTTAAATTATGTGTGTTTTATCAAATTCAGATTTCATATGCAAACTTCTTTGTCAGACTTTATATGTAACTTCTCAATTAGACTTCTCTAATAGATTTCGCATGTATACTTATATTACATAAAATATGGTCATCACCAAACTTCTTTCTTGACATCTTACTTAGTCATCACCATCTTTGAACCTCTAAAAACACAAGAAAATTAATTCAAATTTAACTATACAAAAACATGTAAAACTCATAACAAAAAAAACATGTAAAACTACTTATAAATACCACAACTAGTCTTTCTTCACATATTCTCTATAAACAGTGGGTATGTGAACTATTATCTGTAAGAAAACAAAATTCAAACCACATTAGAAATCATTGTCGAAAAAGTAGACTGCAAACGAAGTCTACTATGTAGACTCCAAATGAAGTCTGCGGACTATAAAGCTAAATACCAAATAAAAGAAGAAAACTAATTAAAGTTAAACTGTAACAAAAAAAAAAATTCAAACTCATACATAAGCAAGAACAATAAATATCACAAACCTAAGAGTCAAATAATAAATTTTATTTGTTACAAATATCTTATCAATTAAATTTATAAAGAAATTAATGTCGCATACTGCAAACAAAGTCTACTATGTAGACTTCAAGTGAAGTCTACGGACTAATAAGCTAAATATCAAATAGAACAAGAAAACTAATTAAAGCTAAATTATAACAAACAAACATGCCAAACTCCTACATAAGTAAGAACAATAAATAATACACACTTAAGAGTCAAAGAATAAATTTTATTTGTTACAAATATCTGATCAATTAATTTAATAAAAAAATTAATGTCGCAGACTACAAACAAAGTCTACGGACTAATAAGCTAAATACCAAATATAACAAGAAACTTGATTGCACCAAATATATATAATATAAACATGTAAAACTGATACAAATGTAAGTCACTAACTAAACACAATCGTAGGACCAAAAAAATCTTTAAAATTCATTGTAAATTTGATAAAAATGCGTTTATAAAAAAGTGAAATAGTAGACTAACAACAAAGTTTACAAAAGTAGACTAGCATTTGTAAACTTCGTATGAAGTCTATATTTTAGGTTACTTTTGCGATTGCCAAAAGATGAGTAGACTTCTTCAAAAAAGTCTACTCACTCTGAGAAGTCTACGTAAGAAAATGTTAGTTTTGCAATTGACCAAACTTTGACTTTTTCGTAAGAAGTCTACTTTTAGTTCTGCAATTTACCAATGTTGACTTCAAACGAAGTCTACTTGGGTTAGTTTTGGGGTTGACCAAACATTGAATTAATTTTCGAGTAGACTTTGTTTGAAGTCTACTCAGAAAGTAGACTTCAGACGAAGTCGACTCGGAAAAGTAGACTTCAAGCAAAGTCTACTCGGAAAAATCAACCTTGGTCAATTGCAAAACTAACCTCTAAGAAGTCTACTTCTTACGAAAAGGTCAAAGGTTGGTCAATTGCAAAACTAACCCCCTTTTACATAGACTTCTTTTGAAGTTTACACTATTTTTTTGTCAAAGAAAATAGCGCAGACTTCAACTGAAGTCTACTGTCAAAAATTGGTACACACGGTCAATTGCAAAACTAACATGTGTGTTGACCAGCAGACTTCTTCTGAAGTCTACTACCGGAAGTAGACTTCTTGAGAAGTCTACTTTCACGGCACAGATCTGAAAACTCACGAAAATTGACTGAAAAATCACCTACCAGTGGTATTTAGCTTCTTTAACCACCGATTTCTTTGATTCCAGCTACCACCAAACAAGCCCAATCGATTTTCCATACCAAATCACCAAATATGGCAATATACTAGAACATCAAGTTTCAAAAATTTAGATTAGAGAGTTTTTGTGCTGAAAATGGTGAAAAAATGGAAGAGTAAAGGTTAAGAGAAGAGGAAATGAGGTTACAAAGCTAAAAGATGGGTCTTTGAGCAATAAAAGCTTCAAATTGGTTTAAAATGGTGGTTGAGTGAATTGATGGTGATGACATTTTTGTGAATAAGCGTGAAAGATGAGGATTGTTTGGTAAAATAGATTTCCAAAATAATAAAAAATTATAATCTAATGGTATTTTCGTAAATAAATCGAACTGATAAGGATAGAAGTGAGAGAAAATGGTTAATTTCAAAAGTGGTAAAATGATAGGTTATTTTAACAATTGACTTTAATTTGTGGGTCATTTTTGCAAGATCTCCTAAAAGAATAGCAGTTATGAAACATTATAATGAAAAGACAAAAAGACACAAATTACATTTGTGATGAAAAAAATGCAACTATTTATAATTATAAAGATATTATTTTTGAGAAAAAAAAATACTACTTTTCAGTTATAATGAAAATATGTTAATGAAAAAACACAATCACAATTTTTGAAATGACAAGATTTACCGAAGTACAAATAATTCAAGTAAAAGAAAAACAACATCTGACCTTAGAAGAGAAGTGCTTGAGAGCTGCATCCTCATATGATCTTTTTCGATCAAAGAAAGTCTTGATTATCCAGAAGCTTTGAGAAAGCTGACCATGATTGTATTCTTAATTCCATATTCTTCTGTTCGGCGACTGATTCTCCATTTATAAGAACGTAAAAATCAGATCTAAATAACTCTTTTACGGGATTTTGAATAATATAAATAATTTTGAAAAGATATACAGTTATGATGAAAAAACACAACTATTTATAACCACAAATTTTGAAACGATACAACTTATCAAAATGCAAGTGGTATTTATTCATATTGTTATTATAGATAGATTAATTATTATTTCTTAAAATTACAAATAGTTTGACTTATTTAAAAATAAAATTATCTTTCTATTACATATATTTATATATATGTCACTGTTGTATTTTGAATATTTAATTAGGTAGATAAATTTATTTTTATAAACTACATTTTGTTTATAAAATTAAGTTAACAAGATTGAAAATTATTTTAATATGAGATGAAACAATTAAAACTTAAAGGATCAATCTATAATTAGATAAAAATCCTAACTCAAAAATCAAGTAAATAATAAGATCATTACCTCAACTCCAGAATCAAGGATGCTCTGGTTTTTAGAGCTGGGCCTCTGTTTTTTTCTATCAATGAAATAAAAATTACTTGTTTGACAAATTATTAATATAAACCGTCTACTGTCTAGGTAATTATGGAGAGATCCCACAAGATATCTTGAGATGTCTGTTACTATTTTTAGTTGTGTATATCTACAGTTCTACACATATATTTTGACATGTCAGTACGTGTCTTGCTAATAATCGTATTAATCAATGTTTTGTTATTGAGCTAAATACGGTTTGCAGCCTTGCTGCTTTGAGATGCACATACTCAATGATATATAAACACACACGTAACATGGGCTTAAATATACGAATGCGGAATCTTAAATAGCATTAAAAAGATATATGGAAATAGCACATTCTTTATTAGTACGATAAATCTTGCTTAAAATGCGATAATCACACGCTTGATATAGTTCGATCAATACTACTTATCAGCAACGAGACTGCTGCATGTTTCACTTGTCATAAAACGGACAAGTTCGTCAACATGGCGATAATTATTATCTATGTTCACAATCAAACCCTTCATGAGCTTTGCCTTTGCCCTAATCGACTCGCCTGCATCATCCACCATGGCCAAACGAACCGAGTGAGCCACCGAGTCAGAGTCAAATGATCCTTCTCTCTCATCTCTTGGGATCTCAACACCAAGTCCCTTTCCCTCCAGCATCCTCGTGTTGAGCCCTTGATCACTCATTGGAAGAGTATCAGAACTCGCCCAAACCCTAGCCCTTCCACAACTGAGTTCCAGCCACAGTGTGTCAAGAAACCGCCAACCGAGTCGTGACTCAGTATTTTGACCTGAGGAACCCACCCAATATGAACCATGCCACGTCCCTTAACTCGTTCCTCAAACCCCTCCGGGATCTGTGAGTCGTTCCTTAGAGCCCAAAAGAAATGCACTTCTGATTTCTCCAGCCCATGAGCCAGCTCGGCGAGTTGCGTTGGAGAAAGGCTAGCCTCGGTACCTAGTGCTACGTAGACCACTGAGTTGACTCGGTGCTTGTCGAGCCACTTCTTTATACCAACCCATGTTGTATCTCTATCTCCTTCAACCTCATCTTCAATACTCGATGGAAGAAAGCCGGTCGGAAACACCGGTTTTTCATACAAATTTTGTAGTAAACCAAAATACTCTGGTTCGAGTTCCAGGGAGCTATGGACGAAAACCGCATCACTCCCACTGATGGAGTAGCCGAACCGGACCGAATCGGAGACTCCAGTAGGATCTTCCTCCGTCATGTCACCGTACCAAGTGATTTCGTGATAACGGAACGCGACATTTGATTGGAATGGGATCCATGGCGGCACCACCGTGAAGTCTTCAGGCGTTGATCTGATATCTTTTATAGCCGACGAGGGTGGTCCCAAGAAACAGAGGGTTGCAGCGCTAAAGATGCTGAAGAAACCCTTGGAGATTCCAAGCTCCGCCGCAACTTGAGGAAGCCAGTAAGAGGCATAGTCAAATATGACCCAATCTGGAGACGACCGTTGGAGAAACTCCGTCAACGGTGCCTGGAGAAGATCGAAGGCGGATTTGAGAGACTGTTGCTTGTTGTAAGGGATTTCCATGGAGCATTCTGATCCTGGTGTTGAGCCGGAGAAGGGAGGGAGAGGGAGAGAGAGAGAGACGAAGGTGATGGAGGAGGAGATGTTTGATGGTAATTTGGGAAGTCTCTCGATGTTTCTTGGTGTCAATATGAAGGAGAACTTGTGACCCTTTTGCGCAAGCAGCTTGGACAAACGAAGAAAAGGAAGAAGATGACCCATAGCCAGCCATGGAAACATGGCTACGTGCATAGCTCTTTCTCCCCTCTCCATTTTTGTTTTGTTTTCCTCACTCTTCGTCTCCAGTTAACCATTATAATGGAGCATGGGTGTTAAATGCCCATCAACATCATCATAACATCATCAATAAAAGGGGTGGTTGAATGGGTAAATGTATTCCACAAAATTAATCTGCATGGTAGTGTGGTAGGTAGTCGCTGAAAGAAAAGTAAATCTGTAGGGACTTCAGTCACTAACCATTATTGTAAAAAAAAAATCTTAAAAAAATATAGGGATAAAGAGGTATATAACAATGTTTGGGGATTTTATTAGGAAAAAAACAAAGACTTAGGACTTATGCACTAGAAAGAATTAGCAAAAAGATGCCCAAAAAAATAAATTGCTTCATTTAATTACATATGGTGCCATCTTATGTGTTTGACTGTTGTACTAAATGAGTAAAAAGAACTGTTAGAATAATCAGATAAAGGTGAGTTTTGAAGTAAATGAGGAGATACGATATTTGTCCCGTCGCCTGGTGTATACATGATATATGCGGAAGTGATGGATAGTTAATGTGAAAAAATAATGCTTCAACAAGCATTTTTGAGAAATTATAGCCAAACATGGGCATGAGTGGACTTATGGATTATCTGGTTATATAGTTTGGTGCAAAGTTTAAATGACATCTAAACGGGTGTTTAAGATACATTTATATATATATATATATATCGACGATTGGCGAGTCAGTTATTGGGATTCCGCCACTTTTGTTTATTAGGGATGTAGTCCCTAATTATGTTCAAATTATTTCATCAAGTGCTATGTGTAACTATACATCAATAATTTATTTGATGCATGTCTATATTTTTATTGAAAGATTATTGTTATATGAACATCTAATATTAATATATATCTTATGATAAATATAGAGTGTTATGTTGTATAATAAATGTCTACTTTACTTTAATTATCTCTATATTTATAAATGAAGGCATATATTATAATGTGAACATCTTATATTATATATTGAGTGCTAAATCGTATTATATATATCTACTTTATGTTATGCATGCCTATATTCTTTAACGGATAATTATATACTTTTAAGTGAATAATTTATGTTTGTAGACATTTTGTAAGTTAAATATCTACGTTTAACAATTTTGATATTGAGTATTAATTTTAAGGTCTACTAATAGAAATAGACATTATTACAATGTTTACATAGTAAATTTATATTATAAACTACAAACAAAGACTGTCTTCCAAATGAAATAGAACGAGTAGCAAGATACAACATACTAAAGCAGAAATTGATGATTAAACACACCAGTAGAGAATAAGCAGCTCTCTATATTTAAATATATATATATATATATATACATGTTTAATATGATATGTATATTGTTAGAGATGAGATTCGTACCATCTCTACAAGCCTGATGTGAATTATGGTCGGCCTATTCTTCAAGTTTTAGGCCGGTTAATCAAATGGAAACTTTCCATTTATCGAGCAAACCCGGGAAAAAAGAAGTTCCTTCTTGTCGGCAAGAAGACTTTCCTATTTTAAACACACATCGAAGACCGACCTGATCAGCTATAAATATGGGAAGCCTTCGACTTTTTAGATGATCCAAAAATCATCTATCGAGACCTAGGGCAAACTAAACAATCTGGTTGTTTTAGCTTTCGATTTACTTTCCATAAAAGTTTAGATCGGCGTTCTTATTCCGACGACCTAAACCTCCGTGTATTCATTCAAGCTCCGGCTTCTTCTAATAAAAGACTTCTCTTTAAACCCACAAACCCTAGTTCTTTCATAGATCGAACTTGAGTTTTTACAGTTGGCGCCGTCTGAGGGGAATAAGAGAACAATCTTTGACTTAGAACGGAGTTCGAAGATGGTTGAAACACCGATCAACACCACCGACCTCACAGGAGGACCCACCGATCTTGCAGGGGGAGCTGTCGATCCACCGAGAAACGCCCAGGGTCCGGTCGTCGACCCAATCACTGGACTCCCCGTGACCAACGAGACCGGTCAGCAAGAAGATACGACAGACGCGACAGATCAGGTCGGCCGGACCGGTAGAACAAACACAACCAACCTGCCACAACCGCCCCCCATCGACATGGCCACCATCATCAGATCAGTCGCAGCACAGCTACAGCAGGGGATGGATGCTCGCTTCGAATCCCTCCGTGCCGAGCAGATTGCCTACCGAGAAGACTTAGATCGGCTTTCAATTCCAGGGTTCATACCCAAGAGCAGGCCGATCTAATCACCCCCCCCCCCTCGCCCTCCGATCCGCAACACAGATACGACCGGACTGGTCAACAACCTTTTCGGCACAACACCGACAGACGACCTGCGGAGAGCACAGGTAGAAGGATCGAATGCTCGCTCGTCCCGCAACACCGCAGGTGCCGACCTGACGACGGTCTCGGAACTTGATCTTCTCCATCAACGCCTTGACGATATCCACAGCAAGATTCACAAGGCGACGACCTCAGCACAAGAGTTGGATAAGATCCTCCAGGAGACTCAGCAGACCCCGTTCACGTCGGCTATCACCACTGCTCCTCTCAAGGACATAGGTCGGATGAAGCTACCTCCGAGTTACACCGGTACGACAGACTCGAAGCGACATCTGACCGCATTCAACGCAGTCATGGGACGTGCTCGCTTCACCGACGAGGAGCGGGAAGCATGCCTCTGTCAGTACTTTGTGGAGACACTCTCCGGAAGTGCCCTCACATGGTTCTCACAGCTGCCCAAAAATTCTATTGATAGCTACAAGGAGCTCACAGCTCGGTTCCTTAAGAATTATTCGATCTACATCGACACGGAGTCCACGGCGCTCGATCTATGGGCGTGTGCTCAGAGTGAAATGGAGCCGTTGTACGACTTCATCGATCGATTCCGAACGATCGTCTCCCGGTGCAGTCTGTCGGACGAACTATCTCTCAACATCCTTATCAGGAATTTGAGGGATGATTCGTCATACTGTGAACGATTGAAGACAGGAAAGACCAAAATCCTCGAAGATGCTTTACACAAGGCAACCGGCTACATTAGAGTCGAAGAAGATCGGGCGGTCAAGGCCAAAGCCAAGCTGGCCGACGAGAAATCTTCACGTGACAAAAAGTCCAGATCGTCGAATCAGGACGACTACAAAGAGCCTCGTCAGCACTACGACAAGGATGACAAGAATCGTAAGAGTGTCAACGCCGTTGGACGACCGAAAAAGCCATGGAACGTTTGGGACCGTTCGAGCGACAGAGACCCCGACATCAAGAAGCCGTGGTGCAAATATCATAGACCACACGGTCATCATACCGATGATTGCCGCACCCTCCCAGCCCTCTTGAGGAAGGCGTGGGATGATGGTGAGGTCACCATACCATAACCCCAGAGTTCATGACGATCCGATGATGAGGACAGGTGACCCGATGGCGATCGAGATAGAAGAGCCGATGACGATCGTGATAGAAGAGATAACGCCGATCGCCCATCTTCTAAACGCGAAGGCAAGGAAGCAAAGCGTGACCGTGAAGACGATCACACACCTCTAAGCTCACCACGTCGACGGATCAACATGATCATGGGAGGGCTCCTCTCGTGCACCGACTCGATCAATTCGATTAAACAGCACGAACGAAAAGCAGCCAACCCTCCGAAGGACGCCCCACCGCTGTTCAAGGATGACCTACCGATCACATTTACAGAGCAAGACGCGCAAGATATAGACCGACCTCATAATGATCCACTCGTCATCACACTACGGCTCGGAGAGGACTACGTCTCCAAAGTGCTGATCGACACTGGAAGTTTGGTCGACCTCATCTTCATGGATAATATACGCAAGATGAGTATCCTCGAGCGGGATATCAAAGTCGCACCATCACCCCTCACTGGATTCGCTGGAGACTCGATCTCGACGATAGGAACTATAACGATGCCTGTCACCATACGCGGGAAGTCAATTACGGTCAAGTTCGAAGTTATCGACCGGCCTGCAATCTATAATGCCATCCTTGGAACACTATGGCTGAATGCCACGCGGGCCGTCCCTTCTCCTTACCATCAATACATCAAAATGCCATTCAGGGGCCGTGTCATCACCATCCGTGGCGATCAGACAATGTCCCGACATTGTTACATCGACAACAAGCGCGCCCGCAAAGCATCAACGTTCATGATCAGCAGTAGCAGCGACTTCGATCCGCGGATTGTTCATCATGACGAGAAGCCGAAGAGCGATCTAATCGCCCAAGTCAACATCGATGCTGCTCACCCGGAACGTTACGTCTGGTATCGGCACGGAACTGTTGCCAAGCATGCAGGACGAGCTGATCAGTTTCCTCCAAGAGAACGTCGCAATGTTTGCGTGGTCCATGGCCGACATGAAGGGCATTAACCCTCGAATAACAAATCACGAGTTGAACGTCGACCCCACTTTCAAGCCGATCAAGCAGAAGCGACAGAAATTATGACCTGAGCGAGCACAAGCCATCCACGATGAAGTAGATAAGCTGCTGAAGGCCAGATCAATCGCCGAAGTCAAGTATCCGGGGTGGCTCACCAACCCGGTGGTAGTCAAGAAGAAAAACAGCAAGTGGCGAGTCTGCGTGGATTTCACCGACCTCAACAAAGCTTGCCCAAAGGACAGTTTCCCTCTTCCTCGTATCGATCAGCTCGTCGAGGCTACCGCGGGCAACGAACTACTCTCTTTTATGGATGCATTTTCAGGATATAATCAGATTCTCATGAATCCGGACGACAGCGAGAAGACCACATTCATCACAGATCGGGGCACCTACTGCTACAAGGTCATGCCGTTTGGTTTGAAGAACGCTGGAGCCACATATCAGCGCCTCGTCAACAAGATGTTTGCCGATAAGCTCAGGAAGACGATGGAGGTGTATATAGACAACATGCTCGTCAAATTGGCCAAAGCAGCCGACCATATTGTCCATCTGCGAGAATGCTTTCTCATACTGAACAAGTATGACATAAAACTTAATCC